ATTTCCCGCAACTTTCATTCACAACTAGTCGCTCGAGATGTCGCATCCAAGAATGTTCTTATTAACCCAATCAAACCCTTAATAGTTGTTTTGGTAAACCAAAACTACCAGTAGATCAAATTACAGTACTGCAAAGTAAAATCCAGAACTTTTGCAGCACTCTTCACAATTGAATTCCTTACTCGTATAAGGCTCGGCGTGATCGCGAGAGTCGCTGGGTTTGCAGCCATTGCACGCGCATTGAGCTTTCATAGTTAATGCTCTTCTGCTATCAGATATTTGCTTCTAATTACCTGAAACGATTTTGGAAAATAGGAATTCAATCAACTGATGCCTTATGGGATTTTGCTGTGCAATGGGGGGGGGGCAGCCAATTTGAATGATAGCTTGTGCCAGCCATATGTATTGAGTAGGTCAAATCTTCCCGAATTTTGAATCTACGCTATGATGGTATTTAGGAATTTGGAAAAAACGCAGGGAGCTCGGTATGCCTTGATTCTTACTGTTCGACACCACTTCCGACCCAGTGAAGAACGTATCGCTCCAAAAAATCAGACTTGCGCGGCATATTGACAACCGAAGGAGTACAGCACGCTTATTTCCAGCTATCGTTCATCTTGGTACACATCCGTGCAATGGCCGCAAGCTCACCGCTTTCGCGATCACGCATTCAGACATTCGCACTGGCCGGCGACCGCGCAAATACCGGCCGGTACGGATGTCTGAGCAGAGCTTCAAAGAACACGCTAGGATGTTAATCGTAAATTGCTTCTCCTGAAGTACTCCCTTCCACAAATGCTGCTACCCTTGGCCTGCTCAGACAATTGAAAGCTCTCAGCCGGCAGCCATAAAGCCACCATCAATCCCCACCAAAAGCTACCGTGCCTTATCGCTGCCTTATGGATTCCCGCTGAATGCCATGTGGCTTCCAGATCATTGCCAGCTTACAGCAGCCCGCTCACGTCCATTAAGGCAGCCCGCTGAGTGCCAGTTAATGCTGCCCGCTCACTGCCACTTATCGCAGCCCGCTCACTGCCGCTTATCGCAGCCCGCTCATTGCCATTCACTTGCTCTCCTCGTTTTGTTGAGCTTTGTGGAATTCAACGGTTGAAACGAGCCTTCTTGGGCCTGGTCTTTCACAACCTACTGTCAATCGTTGTAATAGTACGTGAATAACCGTATCAGCGACCTGCTTTATTCGGGATTTACTACTCCTTCTCATACTTGCTTGTAAACAAACTATTGATCAGTTTTATTACTCAGTCGCTCAAACTGTAACAAAACGCATAACAACAACAAAAACAAGTACAGATAAATGAATAAACTCAAAAGATCAGCGCTCGAGAGGAAGGAGGATGTCCATGTGGGAAGAAGTTTGAGGTATTCTGCTCTAAACAAAATACTCAGGATCTTATTTGATAGAGATATTTCAACTTGCGTACAATTTCAGTCGACTACCCGCTTTACTGTAGACTCTGTTCGCGATATACCTCGTTTTGCACCTCTTTCAAATGCGTCAGTCGGCTAGTTTCAGGTGTTTTTCTTCTTCGCTTCTGGAATTAAGTCGTTTTACAGATATTATAAGGGTTTAAGAATTTTTCGAAATCTACTCACAGCATGTGAGTACCATTGTTCGTCTTCCGTGTCGTATTCATAGGAGCGTATATCTTCCCTGCAAATTACGTACTGATTTCACTTCCAAATCAAAGTCTTTGCCATATAGCTCACGTTTTTTGAGCGTTCCTAAAAAGTGCGGTTACACCGTTTAGAAAGCAGTTATTTACAATCAAACAGTGTGCACATTTTTTGGGACACCCTGTACAGGGTGTTCCAAAAAGATGTGCACACTATTTGATCGTTAATAACTCTCGGTTTCGGGTCTTTTGCCAAGCTTGAGGTACCGTTCTGTGGAGCGATTTTCAACTTGGATTTACAGTATCAATCGCTCTTCATTAATGTAGGATTAAGGCAAGAATTTCGAGGAGGATACTAAGACATTGAGACCGGTATTTTACCTCAGAAAGAAAGCCAAACAGGCCAGAAATTCTTGAAATGGTATAATCGTAGTTGCTGAAGTTTGCACTTCAGTATAGTGCTTCTTTCACAAGTTATTTCAGAGTTAGGGTAACAACCGTTTTTCCAATGTTCGTCAGAAATGTGAAGACGCAATAAAAAAGCTTGAAATACTGGTGAATTGTTATGTATTGAAATCAGCACGCCTGAAAACCTTGCTACACAAACTTTCAGACCTTTTGAGTTATTTCATCAAAAGGTCTATTCCACAGTGATGGTTTATGCTGAATGTTCATACCGTAATCCTACAGGATGAAGAACGATTGGTGAGAGAGGCGAGGATAGATAGAGGCGAACTCACTAAAAAAAACTCGGCAGCTCAACCAGCCAGTAGAGGAAAAAATGAATACCCTTTGTTAACCTTATCTTATCATTCAAGCGCTATCTTATCATATATTTTCCAAGAAGAAGATAATGATATGCCTAACAGGCGCGAACTTGTTTCAGCTGAGCTTTGAAATGAGACAATGCTCTCCAGCGTGACCACTCACGGCTTCCGGAAAAAAGTCACTATAGAAACACAAATATCTTTGAGTTGTTAACCGCACAGGCGGCGGAGCGCGTGCTGCGAGGCAAAACACTTGTCCCAGTACAAATCGCCATTATACAATTCTTGCGGCTTGCAACTTTCGTGCAGTCCTTGCGATCAACGATCTACTGTAGTTTCCAATCAGCGACGGGGCAGTGTGCGGAACATAGCGTTTCGCAAGTTAAGCCAAGTGCCTTTGTTTTTACCATACCTTTGCCCTAGTCTGATCTTTGTATATTCCGAAGCGTATGAAGAACACTTGTTGAATACGCATTGCGATATCAAAACTTTTCATTGAATCATCGGGAATTCGTCACGATAATCTGGATCCAAATCAATTTCTTATTTAGAATTCATTGAAACTGAATGAAGTTATGCTAGAAAGATTACGAGTCTTTGGTGCGATCGACGAATTTGGCGATGTCGTTAATTCGCCGACCGATTTGGCTGAAATTTTCCACATTCAGCTCATCCGATGTGTTGAATTGTCTAAAGTACGTAAATCAGGTGAAGAAATGAAAACTCATCTAAGGAATCATTTCGCGGGTAATGAAGATAGACGGTTAGCGCATCTACTTTGATAGTATGATTAGTATCTTGAAATGCTTTCAATTGTAGAGGACCATAGAAAATAAATGAGAAACAATAACTTCCGAAATCAGTGTTGTAGAATGTGGCACCTAATCTGCTTTTATTGTAAATGATCCAATGTTCAACAGGTCATACTAATGTTTATTAGGAATTAAACAGATTACAGTATAGGAATACGGGTGCGCAAAGAATTCATATGACGATATGTTGAGCGATGGCAAGCGAGACACGTAGGAGTTATTGGCAGACGATCGCAGCGAGTCCAGAGCCGCAGTCACCAGCTGTCACTGTCGGTACTTCTCCTTTCCCAGATAACACATCTTGACACTATTGAGTGTGTGAGTCAGCTACAATAACGAATTAGTGACAGCTGATTCAAATTCACTTACAATATACTTGATGTACATTGCTACCAGACACAATAAACCCCCCACTTTAGTACAGTAAAATGACTTATCGCCGCCCGCTCATGGCATTTTCGCAGCCCTCTCACTAAAACCTTGCTTTCGCAACCCTATCGCTTCCTGATCGTTGCCAACTATCTGCTATCGCTGCCTCGTCGTCGCCTGCTGGCTGCCGACGTAGGCTTTAACATGTTATGCATTCATTTTTTTGAATTGCACGAGTAATAGTTGCCCGCTCGCTGCTTTTTCCTAGTTATCGTTGCCCGCTCGCTGCTTTTTCCGAGTTATGGCTGCCCGCTCATTGAAAATTGTAGTTATCGTTGCCCGCTGAAAGCTTTCAATTGTCTGAGTGCGTCTCAGATGCCACATGTTGCCAATATGTTCGCCACGTCGGCAACACAGGTTTGCAACATGCAACAACATGTTGGCAGAACATTTTAGCTACTAACCTCAACGCCCTTGTTGCCATGCCCTTGTTTCTCTACCCCAAAGGTGCATTGGCATTGGCATTGCTTCAAATGTGAATATCATCTATTCTACGACTAGGAGACGCGAGACCGCATTGCGGACAATGTCTTAACAAGTTTGAGTTTGTTCCTCCATGTTTCTAAAGAGTGCATGAACCTGGACGAGATAAATCACAAGTATAAACATGCTAAGTACACGATTAGGTTTGTTTAGACAATGTGTGCAATGCGGTCTCGCGTCTCCTAGTCATAGAATGAATGATACTTTACTTGACGCAGCGACTGGCAAAACGTCGACAGAAAATTTCGCTTACTTGCCTTGTCTTTCTCGCTGATTTTGAAAGTGCATATTGAAGACGCGAAACGATGGAAACGAGTTCTCAGTGAAGCCCTTGATTTTGAATTTGGATGTATGAGCACGCCAAGGTCATGACGCAGATCGTTACCGGATCCTATTGTCATAACAGCTCGAACAATCGCTAATTACTTCGGGACAAACTGAAGTTCTAAAACTTCCGAGGAGATACTCCTATTGGAGCTGCCAAGTGGGGCGGGCCACCCATAAGCCCAATAGGAGCGTCCGCCCCGAAAGTTTTAGAAGATCGATTTTCACGGAAGTCATTTGCGATTGTCTGAGTGTTTACGATATTAACACTCTCGCTCGCAGTTTGGAATCGGTAGATGAAAAGTCTTGTTTGGCACGCCCAGACAGGGCGGCATGTCGAACCTTTTGAAGGTATGTATTTTTTTGCTCCGAAAGCGATAGATGAGATTGGGCTTGGACGAAAGCGCTGTTCGCTTGGGCGCTATTTTCCGCTGACATTATCTCATTATTTCACACGTCGCGACATTGCCTTCGGAAACAGATGTCCACTGACTACCAAGGTTTGAATCCATTATCAGACTATGTTTCGAGTACGATGCTCCACAGTCATCCTATATTAACAGATTTATTCACTTTAAACACCCAAAACTACTTTCTCCTCTTCTTCTTCTTTTTCTTCTTCTTCACCTTCTTCGCTCTTGGAAGATGTGATATTCGTTCTTTAACCATTGATCTGAAACAAGAGTCTTGTGTATAAAATTGGAACGAGTTGGTCTATCGTTCGACAAAAGAAGTGGAATTTTTGCAGAATTACTAAAGAAAATCTTCCCAATACTGGTATTTGCATTTTTAGCCAAATTTTATGCTGCCGTTGAGAACACAATTTCTCTGACCAGCCAACGGTCTTTACAGGAATTCTTAAGCGCTTACGAGACAACTCTTGTGTGCATGTAAGCAAGCAAGATACCATAAAGGAAACCAATGGCGAAAAATACCATAAACGGCGCCAAATACTCCGATTGCTGCAAGGTTAGTTCTGTTTTTACAACGACCATGAATAAGGTAACAAAGAGTACCCACATCAACAACGTAGACATCCGAATCGCTCATTGCGATGCGTTAAGAAATGTAACCGCAACCGCTTTCCTGCCAGCTCTACCTAAATTGAGGATTCACTCAGAATGCTCCAATGCAACTCAATGTTTACATCCAATTCTACTCAACATCTCTTATCATACATATAAGTTTTATTCATTCATATTGATAAGATTGAGTTGATGGTCGGAAATTTATTTGCACGTATACCTTACGACTTCAGCAATCTTGCATTGTCGAAGGACCACACACCTATCACGTTCATAAAATGCTTGTAGACTGCTACCAAGTCTTTTATTTTCCTTAATTTTCAAATAATTCGAAAATAAAATTTGTGGGAGCTAGATATTGATCTGCCACCGAAATTTATGAGATGGAACATTTTGTTCCTTTGTAAAAAATACGATATTTCTGTGAATTATTATGAGGAAAACATGAAATTTTCCTTCTATAGAGATAACTGCAGCTTCCATGACTTATAATCAATTTCTTGGAATGTCCTAGATCTGTTGGCGGTAAATAGAAGACTTCCTCTCCGGTGATATCGGTTTAAATTATAGTATGCTTGGACTTCCGAGTCATGAATGAGCTTCTATGTCAGAGAACCTCCTCTTTACCTTGTGCCCTACGAAATACTTTTCCCAACTAACTATATGTCTCGTATTTCTAATTCAGTCTCCTCTTTATTTGAAAAGAAAAGCGTTTAAATAACAATTTCATTATGCCTTGATCGCAAGTATAGTTTTCGTCTCATTCACACCAGCCACTTCAATTTAAAAGTACGATAAATTTACAGCTTAATTCGGTTATCTTTTCTAGTTAGTTTTCAAGGGGAGGGGAGTAACATACTGCTAAATGCAATTAATTATGCACCGGAATTCCAGTCTACAACTGTAACTTACAGTCGAGTAGATTCTCCGCTCAATATAATGTGCTTGCACTGCTGGTAAAATGCAGTAAAATTTGCGCGTGAACGAATAGCTACCCTCTGACGCCGGCCAAATGCGCGCGCAAAATGTTGGCATTACTGGCGTGGCTAGTTGTTCACGCGCAAATTTTACGGCATTTTACCTGCAGTGCGAGTACACCATATTGAGCGAAAATCTACTCCGTGTAAGTTACAGGTTTAGACTGGAATTACGGGCATTTTGATTAAAATTCCAATTACAAGTGGACATATAGCTGATGAAGAAATACTGCTACTGTACGAAATTGAGAGCATCGATCGAAGCATATTACGATTCGCAGCTTTTTGGTTTACGTTTGTTAGAGCCGGTTTCCTTGTTGTGGTGTGCTAGACAAGCTGCTATTGGTACGTAGATTCTACAATTAAGCAGCATCATAATCCTTTCTCTTTTCTTTCTCATACAATTCCATATTTTAATTGATTCATCTCAACCTTCGGCTAACGACCACCAGGCATGGAGACTCCAGATCAGCTGAGAAGTGCACGTGCGACATGTCCTCCTACGCTCACGACCAGTTGCAGACGGCTTAGAAAAAATCGTGCAGAGTGCAGAATCCAGTTTTTACTCCTTTAATTTTTTTCAGGATGAACGGAACCGAAATCGACTCCATCGTCACAGTGGAAATAGTGCCAGTGCCATTTATGGAAACGTTAAAATTCTTAGAACGATATGAAATAATCTTGTTCATTCTTTTCATATCTGAGTATTCGCTTATTGGCCTGGTGTAATTTGAATTCAAAGTATGAAAGGTAGATAATAAGCTGTAATCATATTAGCTATCATTTGCACAAATAATTTTCACATTACAGCACAGTGCATGCATTGGAAAGAAGCAATTAGTCAGCTGCTTATCGACGGCGATAATCTGGCAGGCAGCCATGTCAGACCTTACATCAGCAAATGTTGTTTAAAAAAAGGAAGAGTCTGAAGTTGTCTTGTAAACATGACTAGATAAAGCCAAAATTACCTCTATTCACGTGATAGTCCCGACGTTTCTAATAGGACTTTCACGCTTGGTGAGCAAACAAATTACTCTTGATAACATGGAGCAACCCCCCTTTAGTTTTTCTTAGTAACATTTGGCGCACAGTCAAAAATTCGGAAGGGTGTGCAGTAGCGCAATGACGCGAGGTGTGCGGTGCCGCTGTTTCGAATGCACGGCTGGTTGCAGCGGTAGTGCGGAAGTTGAATTTTCCGAATTTTTCTTAGCAGTGTATTTTGAAAGGAGAAATATGTATAATAGTTCAATTGCTTGTTTCATTAATCAAATGGTGAGAATTTGTACCGAAAGCAGAGATAAGCATACGTGATAAAATTTAAACGTTACAGTATCTACAGTATGCCATTCGAACACTATTAGCGGCAGCATTTTTCCGCGGGCATTCATTTTGCCGCCTATATGCGCTTCATCGAATAACAACGCAAGGATCCGTTCGATGTTGATAGCTAATCAGTTCGAGGCAAACCTAATATGGTGCTTGTTGGCAATGAGTGCTCCGAAACTGTAGATTAACATGCAATATTCAATAGAATTGAACGCTATATCTTCTCCTGTGATGCATATAAGCATGAGATAGTGCAATCAAGTAAAAACACTATTCGGAGGAGTTGACGCAACAGTGTGTCTACTGCCGGATGAAGGCGATTGCCAGATGAGCCTAGTGTGAACGAACGCGGTGCGTGCGGCTCTCTTCCCTGGCGACTTCGCGTTCCAAGCGACCAAACATAACAGAACCGCGTTCGCAATCGGTTTCACGTAGCGACCGACTTCGTTCGGCAGTAGACCTCACTGGTATCATCCTTTATAATCTATAGTTTCTAAAAGGAATACATGCATCATAGCCATTTTGTTGGGAAAAAATTTCTTCTGCAATAAGGCAAGTTTTTTTCCTTCAATTTTGTACGGACACATGAATCTCGCATAAGAGCAACTTGGAGGGATTTATATGCGAGAGAGGGATTTATATGCGATGCAGCCTTGATTTCTCTTTCTAGTGACTAGATTCGTAATTAGAGTCTTCGAGCAAAGTCAAAATAATTGAGAAATCTGTGATGCCATTTTTATTTTCACAGCTCCATATCGTTTGTTTGCAAAACCGTCTAATAACGATTAATTGAAATAACCTTCATGCTGTGCGGGCAATTTACGGAATTTGGTTTGTGAAGTTGAGTGATTTTTGAAGTGCGGAATTCTTGATGTTCGGGTAAAAATGACTTTTCGAAAAACTTGCCAAATCAAAAGCTTCAGTGTATTATATGGTTTCAACACCAAGCTTGTCTTGCCAACTATAGCAGATTACGAAAACATCGAAAAGGTCGAAGTCTTGAGCGGTCAAATTCGAGTATTCCAAGAGACAACTTCGAAAGTTCGGGACATAAGTGAAAGCACACAATCGTCTCTCCCAGTAACATAAATTATTCCGGAAAGTCACTGAACAGAAAATAGTGATCCATAGTAAACTGACATGTTAAATACTCGCGTGCCTAGCGTTTGCGGTCTTTATCATCCGTGAATGGATGATAACTGCAAAAATTTCTGTTCACTGGAAACATAAAAACTTCATCCCATCTTGATCTCAACATCACGACATCCAGGCAATAAACATTATATCGACTGAGATGTGAACAGCTCTCAGAGTCACACTCGAGGAGAGCCATTAGCTGAGTTGAACTGTCATCAACCATTCCAAAAATCGCCGGCGAGATTTGGCAGGATGCCAAGGTCGCCGTCGATCTCAACGCGGCCGCTACCTCATCATTACGCAATTTTGGTTCGAACACACCTGGCATAGCTTTGTGCTAGATTGCAATAAGTTTTATGAAAATCTGTTCTTTACTCAGTTTTTTACATCTTCCAGCATATATTCCACACTTATATCCAACTCTTACACAAAATATAGTTTGCGCTTTCAATTTTTATTCTTGAATTTCTTAACCTTCTAACACCCCTAACACTCTAAAAAATGGAAAAGTCGAATCGAAGAGTGCAACTTCCTCCCACTAACAGTGAGATGATAGCAAAATCTCTATTGAAAAGTGCACCTCATCAACCTTCCTAAGCAACAGCCGCACTATTCCACTTTTTACTCAAGAGCGAAGCATGAGCATTCAGTAACTATTCCTATTTATAGCCAAGCTAGGTACGATCTATCCAGCGGTGCAAATAAATTCCTTCCTCAATGTGACAAAGAGCGTAAATAATCTGGCTTTTTTTTTCACTAATAACCAAATTATCATTGCAAATCGCGTGAGATGATTAAATTTGGACTTATATTTGGCCTATCTGTCTGCAATCCCTAATCATGTAAGAATTATGGATCGCACTCCAACATAGCAAAAGTAAAGAGAGATAAACTTACATTTTGGCCACATTCCAGTTTAATCCCCAAAAAATCAATTGTTTACGCATTTGATTTTGAAACAATGACTGCACATAGAGACGTAAACAACGAAACTCATCTTCGCTTCCATTGTATTGAGAATATGACAAGAAAAAAAACCACCCTTTACTTCCAGCGTCATTTCTGCAATCTGGTTTTTGAGTCGCACAAATGTTTACTCATTTTTACCGGACAGCAGCGTGTTGATTTATTATTCCAGCCCTTAGATATGAGTTTAGCCGGCCTGATACCCTCCAACTCGCGTTTGTTCTATGCGTCGCTGTGTTTCTTTCCCCTCCAAGGTCCCCGCCTCTTGGCGAGCGTCCAAGCCACTGCGAGGTGACGCGATTGTGCGCTTGGCAGCCTGCCAACTGGGATCGCGATGACAGCAGCGACAGCGCCAGTCAGCGCAGCACCCCTAGCCCTAACCCCGGTCTCGATGCAGATTCTGCTGAAGCCCCGTGTCGTCGTCTAACCCGCTCAGCTCCCCGTATTCCCCCTCTGCATCGATGTAGCACACATACACATCGCATAGGTGGCCGTGATGACGGTCAGAGCCGAGACAGACAGGGAGTCGCCGGGGTGCTGGCCAGAGACGCAGCGTAATCCTGCGGCTCCGCCCACAAGCGCCGAAACGGGGAGCACGCCAACCTCGCTAGTTCTGCCCCCCTCGAAGCTTTCACTATAGACCAATCCGAGCGTCTTGGATCATCACTGTCCCAGCTCATCCAAGTCCATGCCTTGGACTTACTCCTGTTTGAAAATGTTTCGTTTTCTTGCCTCCTAATGCATTTTTTTGCGAGCTTTAGAAGAAGTCTATGCTAAGTAGTGCGTCTCTATGCTCCATATCCAATTCTGCAGTGTGGTCTCGCGCCAAGTAATGCTCTTCTTCGCGGCATCACGGTCGTTACGAGAGCAATACACATTAGCCGCGTCGCGATGTGTGTTGTGTGTGTACGTTCGAATTTCGCGGGCCGCGTTGCTCATCACAGATCACTCGCGCGTGCGCCAATCTCCGCTTTGATCTCCTAGACAAGTTCCCCAGTAACTCACTTGTTCTTCGTGCTATATTATTTTAGTATCACATCAAACTTCCCAAATGACATCTTACCTTTTCCAGATCAAACACTCGTAAAAATGAGCGCTGTGGAGGAAAGAACCGCTGAGAAGAGGCCCATGAACGACAAGGATGACAGCAACGAGTCCGCAAAAGGAAAGAAAGAACCCCGACTTGAAAATGGCAAAACCGATGTGAGTGGTCAGGGAGTGACGAGATGGGCAGAGTACGGCCAGATTTGCAGCTGCATGTGCAGAGATGCAGAGTCACTGTCAGCGTTCCAATTGGATGCATGCCAAACATTGCATCTCCTTGGAAACAATAACTAACACCATATTTATGGTTGAATGAAAAATTACTCATACTGACTCTGCCTCTGTACAGGCAATAACAACTCGTCCATCAATACTGCTGATGTTATGCCCCTTTTTTAATGTCTCTATTTTTCAGGATGACGTCCAAGTGATCAAGGAGAAGAAGGCTAAACGTAAGTCATTTCCACCCTAGCTTTTCCCCTTACGAAACACTCTTACGACCTCTTACGCGTACTGCGTCCAACTGCGAAGATGATGCGCGCTGCGACTGCACAGACGACAGAGTAACGCTGAGAGAGCATGAGTCGCGTGGGGCGCGCAGAGTGAGCTGTGTGCGGCCGGCCAAGAGGTAGAGACACAGAGTGCGACAAATGAACGCGACGCCGCCGATAACAGCCGCTGGCCCCGCTCACACACAGGCACTCATACACACCACACGACGCCAGTTGCAGTCATAATCGATCTACGATCGATCTGGGCCCCTTGAAATTTGTGAGAAAACTTTGGGAAAAAACTGTGAGGGGATGCTGCGGGACTGGGTCAGATCAATGCTGCGGTTGAATGCTGGTTAGGGGACCTGGTATCGATGAGAAGAAAAATCGGAGGGCGCGACGACGTTGATGGGAGCAAATGCGCGTTAGCGGCGTGCGTGGCGCAAATGACAGCTTTTAGCCGTGCAGCACTCTAGGGCACACAGATGAATGTTAGGATCGTCAAGCACTAGCAAGTCTTGGTACTCACAAGTGGGGAAGATCTAGTTAGAGTTAGCACGGTAGTGGTTGTCGGTGGGCTGAGCGGACAGGTGGTACAAATCTGCGATGTCTGTAATATGCATGGCTGCATGGTCTGTAGTAGCGCGCCGTTCTCTCCAATTAGGCAAAGCGGTAATGATTCCACGTAGCGAAACTTAGGTCCTGCGCGGAATCTGCTGTGAGCTTAATGTAAGATGTAGCCTTGGAATCAGGTTTCTCCTTGATATAAATCTGTTTCAGAAATTGAAAATGTCGAAGGTGACGAGGAGGATGATGATGAAGATGTAGATGATGAAGAGGTGCATGACGAGTCTTCAGAAGGAGAAGGTGATGCTTCAGAAGGTTTGTTTTCGCTCCTTTTCAGAGACTTTCCAGTACGCTTGGGTTCCTCAACCAAGTTCCTTTTAGGTGAAGGTGATGACGATGAGGGAGACTCAGGCGAGGAAGAGGACGGAGATGACGCCGAAGGCGGCGAGGAGAGTGATTGAAGTGTGATCGGTCACGGCCAACTATACTTCGTCGCCGATGATGCTGATGATCGTCGCTAACGTCGTGGCAGTCGACGTCGTCGTCATGACGTCTTCTAGCCCACGTCGTCAAACGCTCTTCTCCCCACATACACTCCTTCAGGGCGGGTCTTGTCCGGTGGTCCCGAATCCACCAACCCCACAGCCTATTCAGTTCCTCAGTCGACCGACCACGCGCGCGTTTAACATCTCACCACATCTACCCACACACGCTCTCTACTCCCATCACTACGTCTCACAATCAATTCGATCCCCGGCCGACCCTTGTTTGACTCTCATTTCTTTATATTTCTTTGTTTGTTCATGTTCATGTTCTGTATTGTCTTTTTTGTACTGTTATGACTGTATTATTAAGTTCGTCGTGTGAATTTGAATGTTATCTTTGTTTGAAGTCTTAGTATTAAGTAAACATTTGTATTTTCTTCGTAAAAAAAGAGAAAAAGGTCTGTACAATGACAGGCCATACAAACTTGCCAACTTTGATTCTTGCCAAATAAAGGAGGAACGGGCGGGAAAGTTTACGAAGCGTATGTACCACAAACATGCGGTGCAGCCGTGCATATGGGGTTTTTTGTGTGGTATATGGTTAACATTGTCCAACAAAAGAACCCTTCTAGTGAATGTGAAATCTTATACGATTAGCAAGGCTATTGGAGAGGAAGCTACGGTACGAAACATTACATACTGCAATGAAGATAGCTTGACTGAAACTTCGCTCATTTGTTCAGGGTTTACGGGAGGAAAGCTTTGACTTTGCTAGATTTATGTTTCGTAACAATAATCTAACAATCAAATATTCACATATTGATTGCAGTACACAATGAAGTCTCCATAAATGCGTGCACTAAAAATGTCGTACGCCATTGGCACTGTTCCAAACACGAATAACATCAATGGAAGAACACTTTAACAACGCAGCCTATTCTTACAGGCGCTTTTGTAAATTTCGGGAAGAGTTGGGGGAGTTAGTTTACTGGGAGAAATGTGGTTTTTTTAATGAATTTTTGTAGAAAAAAGGACATAGTGTTCGCTATCGAAAAGGATTGTCATCAGTTCGCGGCGCAATATCCTTCCCTTCCCTTCCCATTCTGGGATACAACAGCAATTTTCCGAAAAACTACATTTTGAATTTAGATTATTTGTGAGATGTAGGTTCCAGCTAGAATGGAGAATCTGTGTTTGAGAAAAGACTTGTCTTGAAGGCCGGCATACTCCACGCGATTTCGTCGCGACGCGATTTCGCAACATTCCAGCTGTCCATAACTCATTGTAAGCACATTTCAAATATACAGAAGATAGGACATTTCAATTCCACGTAAGTTATACAAACTGTGCATTTGCAGTCTGCTAGTGTTGGATCTGAAGACTTCTGGCGTATTGCCAAATCGCTTCGCGACTGAAATCGCGCGAAGTATGCCCGGCCCTTTACGATTGCTGTTTTGCTCAAAGTTTGCAATTATTTTTATTTGCAGAAATAGCAGTTTGAAAAAATGCCAAATGTTCAAAATTCTCCTTTTCAGCTTCAGTATCTTCGACATAATACTTTCACTTGCAGCAGTCAGAATATAACCACAGTGCTTTTATATTAATATTAGTTTTTAATGCACATCTGCACTCCTATTATAGTCAGTTCTCAACTTGGAGACCGCAATTGCAAGGTCGCTGCGTTGCGGCGTCACTTGCTTTTGTGGCAATCGATAGCTTCGACATGGGGCGGCATGCACGGCGCCCCGCTAGTAGCTGTAATTTGTCGCTTTCGAGTTTTTTTTTGGGCAAATGTAAACAGCATCAGTTTGGAAGGTTTTTTTTTACAAACAAGCGGAACTCGCAGGTTCTTCGGGTAACTTAGGAAAGGAAGCGCTCTTTCATGTTTTAATTCATGGTACTTGCTTGTATGGCAGCTGTTGACAGCGCCATGGTGCACTCGTCATATGTGCTGCAATTATATTCTGTACACGCTTTTTTCGGAATTCATCAATTCGGCAGCCGTATTTATGGGGCACCCACACAGCGACGGCGCATCAGCGTTCTGTTATCGTCGTTGTGGTCAGTGCGTAGCACGAGGCTTGAGCGATTAACCTGGGAACGGCCTCTGTTCCATCGATGCTTTATGGCCCTCCTGTCACTCGCTTTGCGACCGAGAGACAGAGGCGCTAAGATAGCAGCCGACGCTCGGTCAACATCGGCCCAGGTCACTGTAGCCGAGGCGTCGGGAAACAATTCGAAACACTTGACGATCAGCGGCTAATCACAAGCATTATAGCGGGAAGGGAACGAAATATTTAATTTGGAATTTTGCGAGAAAACTGGATTTGAAAAAGTTTCGTATGGTGGCTTTGGACGGATATCCGAGCTATACGCTGGAAGAGTAAAGTCGACATTTATTGGTTGTTTTAGCAACCATTTCTGGTGATTCTATATCCCATAAAGCAGTACATGAATCGCATTTGACCCTGGGAGCTCTATGATTCGATTACGCTAAAATAGATTTTTCTTATGGAACACGCTGACGCTTTCAATCAACCTGAGTATCGAAATCTTATTCAGTTTTAGTCCCTCGTTACTAACTTTGTCGAGCTTGTTTACCAGGAAAGCGGATGCAAACAACATATGGCGTGCATGGTTTTTTTGGTGCGGAGTCTGAACCACTGAGAAATATCTTTATCCCAATGATAGAAAGCTATAAGGCATGACTTTTACTCTGAAATGTGTCAACGTCATTTCTCAAATTCCATGTTTTTGTAAGTTTGACCGAAATCAAAAAACACTGGAATAGAACGTGGCACATCACATAAACTAGTGGCTATAAATCATAATTTATGATGTGTGAAATTTCTCCTGCTGTCCTTGGAGGTGCCCAGAAAGGGATTTGCTTGACGTATGCGAGAATTATGGCCAATGTGAGGTTTTCTTGTCTTTCAAAATAGGTTGCTTGGAAGTTTTTGATTACTTAATCATTTTGCAGTAAATTTTCCATGCACTAAGTTTTTGTAGAAGCACGGCAGAAGATAAGAAATTTTGGAACCAGGAAGAGAAAAGTAGTCGAAGCGGCTGCTGGGAGACTAGAGTTTTTGCATTGGTAAAGCTGAATTATTTGTGCAATGTAATAATCTTCTTTATAACCTTCGGTAGAGAAATTCGCCAGAAACGATAGGTTAAAGCTAAAAATCCTTATTCTTCAACAAGACTAGCGCTCACAAAATTTGGAGAAATCTGCATTATTTAGAGGAAATTTTGTTGTTTATCTACTCTTGCAGATTCGTTGGATCCTGCAGGTGATCTGTTCAGTCAAAATCTGTACTTTTGCGCGAGTCCCATGCGAAATACCAGATTCCATCAAAGCTACCCCAGCTAGTTCCAGTTGAGAGTCAACTACGCGCGCAAGCTGCGGCAACACAAGTGTAGCAGTTTGTTGACTCTGCATTGTAATTTGATTTATGTACTCTAATCGGTGTCCTATCCACATCTGTCTTATTGCCGCAGAGCTAATGGATCTACAAAAGCTTCCAGGAAACAAAAACCCTCTTTACAATTTTATTGGCTTTACTAAAAAGGAACTTTTCCATTTTGATCAACAGATTCAAAGTTCTGATTGCGATTCGTATAATTTAGTTGGTACGGCGACAGCTTCTAGCTGCCTGCGTATCTTCGTCCCGTTTTGTTTGGTAATTCACCGAAATAAACGCGCCGCATCAGTGGACGCAAACGACACAGTGTCTGCGTCATAGCCTGAGAATTGTATGTTGTAAAAAATGATTCCTTTTTTTCAGTTGTACTGTTTTATAGTAGGAGAACAGCTATAATCTTACCATTAACGTGTGCTTTGATTTCTGGATTTGATGTGGGTAATTCTAAGCCCCTCCGGAAACTTGTAAGATTTTTCATAATATCCATTCACAACGTAGCTTTATTCACTACATAATGAATATGTGATCAAATTTAACAACGCCACCCGATGTATATAGTGAAGTGTGCTAGAAGATGCTCGCGTCAAATCACATAAGAGAAAACAAACTTAAAATTGTAACAGATTTTGGCGCGGCAGCAACAAAAAAGTTGGAAAGGCCAGATTGCTTCTGTGCAAAGTAAGCTGATCTACAATTTATCGTCTTGTGACTTCGTATTTCAAACACTATGTACTCTCAAGATGATAACTATCAGACATTACACGGTGTATAAGCTCTGCCGATCGTAGTCGTGATTTGAGTAAACAAAGGCAATCTTCCAGCAAGATAAAGAAATTCCTGAATGTGTGCCAAGATGATCTGGTTCGTCTAAGACCGTACAGTCGAGTAGATTTTCCGCTTAATATAGTGTGCTTGCACTGTAGGTGAAATGCGGTAAAATTTGCGCGCAAAAAATTAGCCTCGCCAATAATGCCGGCATTCTGCGCGCGCAAGTGGAAGGCGTCAAAGGCGTAGCCATATCTTCACGCGCAAATTTTACCGCATTTCACTTAGAGTGCAAGCACACCATACTAAGCGGAAATTCTACTCGACTGTACACATATTACTTACAAAGCAACATGCTCTTAGCTGATCTGATCTAGACATAGGGTGGAAAAGCTTTGAAAATCTTTGAATGTTATCATAACAGTGATGTAAAATTTTGGAGGAATTATGAACTACGCAACGCATACCTCAGGCACAAGCTATCGCTTATGTTGTCCTACCTCCAAGTTTTCCAACGTTGTTTATAATCCTAAATGAGGACTTTTCTTACAACCCAATCAATATTGACATTCGTATTCGTTCTCTATAGCACCAATCAATGGCCATATTTGCTTTATTAGCAATTAACTAGCGATAGGAACGTCGAAGACACGAAAACATACAGTCGAGTAGATTTAGCGGTAAATATAGTGTGCTTGCACAGAAGGCGAAATGCGGTAAAATTGGCGCGTGAAGAAATAGTTTCGACTGTGACGCCGACCAATTGCGCGCGCAAGATACCCGCGGTACTGACGTGGCTACTTGTTCACGCGCAAATTTCACCGCATTTCACCTTCTGTGCAAGCACACTATATTTACCGCTAAATCTACTCGACTGTACGCTTGCAGTGTTCTGCAGTAGTAGAATCGACGTCGAATCGCAGAGCAGCGCGTAAACAAGAACTATGATCGCATACCGGTTGCGCGACGCGACATCGTCCTAGCATTGCAATTTCCTATGAATCAGCGCTGATCGTTGAAATGGCTAGCATTGCATCGAATTTATCTGTACTACTGAAAGGAGGAATACACAGTAGAAAACCATTGAAACCGTATCGATTCTGCAGTGCACCCACGGTATCTCAGATACTTTTTCTGAGCGGAGTATGGGGGCGGGGAGTCAGGAGGCAACTAGTAAAAGGGATACTTCTTTCTCTTACGAGTTCGATTTTCTCTATTCCAAAAATTACAATCTAGCACATAAAGTGGATCA